TACTAGTAATAATTTTATATAACGTTCCTAGAGCGTTCTTTGAAAGTTTGTTGTTATTTTGAGTTATCTCACTTGTCTGAAAGTAGCATCAGAACAAGCCCGCGAAATTCATCGTGGCAAGGAGTGCAAGACTATGTAGGCCTTGAGCCTTGAGCACCACATAGGTGACAGTAGGCCTTTGCTCGAGTCCTTTTCCCCTACCACCAACCTCTCGAGAGGACTTTCGACTCGCCGTATATTTAGAGTGCCTCCATACCGCACAGACGCTATACATTTACAAACATCCTGCCTTCTCCGGGATTCAAGCCCGGGTCCTTCCATGCGGCAATCAGCGTCGCTAACCACTGTCCCGGTTGGGCGGCTACATATGAAATTCATTTTAAATAAGAACAGGAGCAGCTTGACTACCGAAAATTCAGATGCTTAAGACGAGTAATTATAAGCCAGACTTGACTAAACTGGTGTCACAATTTCAACATCAGGGAAGCCATTCATATCGAAGAGGAAAATGAAGTTCATTCTGTTATGTTTGTTTTTATATTAATTGTTATTTTAATTTGTATGTTTAAAGTTTAAAGCCTATTGTAATTATTTTCTCAGTAAAATTTATCTTATTACTCGCCAAGAAGAACCGTTCTAAAATGAAAATACCATTGAGCTGAAGCGTCTTCTTAATACACACATTTCGATTGATTTTGACCCGCAGCCAAAATGCCTGCTTCAATACATAAAAAATAATAATAAATAAATACAAAAAGTTCTGTTTATTTACCTATGGGGTAAAGATGATATACTGTTCTGACATGACGACTCTACGTAAAAACTGGCAACTGACTGGTTTGTTCAGGTTGTGTATTGCTCACTGCATATAGACCTAAAATAAATTTATTATACACTCATGTCCATAAATTAAGGATAATTCGGAGTCACGCGGAAATCGAACTCTAAAATAAATACATCACCTGTAAAATCACTACACACATCTTCAAGAATCATATGCAAATCTCAGGAAGTAACCAGATGACGCCGATGGTACGTCACAATGACGAGAGTGTAAGAGAGTGATATATAACGAATACAGGCAAAGAAGTAAAATTGTTCGCAGGCGCTTTATAAGCATTTCAGTGCAATAACCGAATAGTTATGACACAAAGGACGCAGTTGGATGATTTTTTACGTGGCGGAATTATCGGCCGTCTGGAATGTGGGCGTACCCAACTGGAAGTATCAGACGAACTTGGAATCGCCCAGAGTGTCATCTCCAGGCTTTGGCAACGATTCCAAGATGATGGTAATGTGAGTAGACGTTACAGCACAGGTTGCCTCAGAGTTACAACGCCGAATGAGGACCGGTATTTGGCAGTTACTGCCAAAAGAAACAACTGGCGAGCACAGCCTCAGACCTGTCTCGTCAGCTCTCTTCAGCCACTGGTACGACAATTTCAAGGCAGACCGTGTACAGACTCTTAGGGCAGATTTGGTCTATATGCTCGTATAGACCTGTCAGATGCGTTCCACTTACTGCAACTCACTGTCGCCTGCGGTTAGCCTGGAGTAGAGAGCATGCATTGTGGACACCGCAACAGTGGGCTTGTGTGATGTTTTCCGACGAGTCCAGGTTTAGCTTGCGGTCTGATTCTCGCTGGACTTTCATATGGAGAGCTCCAGGTGCCCGTTACCACCAAGAAAACATCACTGAACGACACCGTTACGGTGGTGCAGGAGTGCTCGTTTGGGGTGGAATTATTCTGGGTTCCAGAACTGACCGACCTGCATGTTCAAATTGGAACCATGACAAGCCAAATCTATCGGGACGTCATTCTGGAACAACATGTACGTTTGTTTCGGGACGCCATGAGCGAACAATTTGTGTTTATGGATGACAACGCCCGTCCTCACCGTGTAAACGTCGTAAGCGAATACTTTCAATCGGAGGATATCACCCGTATGGACTGGCCAGCATTCTCACCGGACTTGAATCCAGTACAGCACGTATGGGACATGCTTGGCCGACGAGTTGCAGCCCGTCAACCTCCTCCTACATGTCTACCGGAACTTCGGAGAGCATTGCTTTTTGAGTGGTGTAATATCCTCCAAGATCAGATCGATTTTGATACTCAGCATGCCTAGGCGTTGTGTGGACTGTATTGCATCGTCTGGGAGACATACAATGTATTAACAATCATACCAACCATGTAATATTGTTTTTTTGTAAATAGGTTTTTTTTTTTTTTTCGTAATTTGCTCCACGGAGAAAAAATCACTAATTTTTTTAATAATATCAAACATATAGCATCGTTTTTGCTCTTTACCTGTTGTTTAATAAATAAGCTTTACAAATAGGTCAAATTTGTTTTGCTTCTAACTCTTCCTTTGCCTGATTTTGCATTATCCTTAATTTATGGACATGAGTGTAAATATATGAGACGCTCTCTTTTTGACACAATAACCAGAACTTACAATTAATGTTAAATGCATAGGTAAGATAGGTAGGTCTCTCTAGAGTTTTAGAATATTCTGAGTCCTTGCCTTGTCTAAAACTGTTTGCGGGACTGGACACATCCTCTTGTTTTTTCGGTTGTATTTTACGTCCTCTGATTCCTTACAGTTGAAACGACATCAGAGGAGAAACAGCATCATTGATTTGTTACCCTTCGTGAAACTGAGAGGCTTTGGTGACAGACAAAATTAAGATTCTTAAAAACCAGTGGCGGCTCGTAGCTAAAATTAGTGGGGGTGTTATTCCAAAAACATTTTACCTTTCTTTTAAAATTGTGAAAAAGGAAACGAACAGGTATAAAAAAGAAAATTTATTTTGAAACTTCATGAAATCTTACAAGGAAAAAATTAAACATTTGTTAATTACTTTAACCAAAATTGTTACAGTTCAATCTTTGTCTATTCATTTAAAAATGAAATCCTTTCTTCTTGTTTTAATTTGCGCGAAACGATCAATAATTTTCTCATTGATCTCTGGATGACACCTGAGGAAAGTTTTCTATATTGAAAGCAATGCAAGCGCGTTAGTCTTTCGGAATTCCTAGTGCTTCTTAGAAAAGTTTTCATTCTTTTCAATGTTGAAAAGCAGCGTTCTGCCTCTGATGTATTCTTGCGAACTCTCAAGAGAATTTTTATCAGTAGTTTCGTAATTTCACCAAGAACATCATCTAGATTATTTTCGAAGATAAATTTCAGTAGTTCAATTAATTTGCAGTATTCATGGATATCAGACCTACGATGGAATACTTTTATTTCAGTTTAAAGCTTTTCTTTGTTCAATAGTACGATACGATAGAATACTTTGTACGATAGAATACTTTTAGTTCTGTTTCAAGCTTTCATTGGATATGCTTCAGTGGTCAGTACTATTTCTTCTGTAGAATGTTAATTCCTAAAACTAGCGTAGCATTTCTTGTCAAACAATTTAGCAGCTGCTAAGTGTTTAGTGGAAGAATATCTGCTCATTATATCAATACATAGTATAAAGTCACATATTTCTTTAGCTTCTGCTATCAGTGTCTTTGAAAAATTCTCATAGTACTTTGAGTTTCTTAATTCTAAAATACCAGTTTTGTAATATGTTACATATCATTAACTTTAAACATACTAATTTCTCTGGAATTGCATTAGTGGTATATGTATTTCAACATGAGTCATAATCTGATGAAAAAGCTCTAACCAAAACTTGAAAATTATCATTCATTTAGATATTTTTAAATTCCTATTGCAAAAGCAATAGGAACAGTTGTTTCAATATGTTGTTGTTCTGCATTTCATGTTGATTGAATTTCACTAAGGCAACTTTTTAAAGGTTGCACATTTTTCATGAACTCTGTTTATGGTGAAGTTCCACTTTGTGGAGGAATACCACACGCGCGGAGTAAAAAGGAATCACCTTTTCAACAACACGCCAGAATTGCGGCACTGCAAGAGCGACAGTGCTCTTCGCTCTACCTGGCCTGCGTGCTGTTTTCTGTGTGCGCATGCTCAGAACAGCCAAACACCACGTCGCTGGAACTGTGAAGCGCGCAGTGCAAACACAGACTTTCGTACCTTTTTCACAAACTGCGGAAGGGCTACTGACGTTAAGCTTACGGATTATGTATTTTAAAAGTGTAAAGAAAGAATTAAAGACTAAAGGGAACACTATATTAAATATTAAAAATAATAATAAATGGAAATAGGGGTGCTGCAGTTCCACAGTGCTTATTACGAGTCGCCACTGTTAAAAAGTCAAGTAGCCGTAACTGAAGGGATTATGATGCTTCTGTAATGTCAGAGCCTGTCAGAATAAACAGTAAATGTCTGACCAAAAAGAATAAACGATAAATACCCGACCCAAAATTTCCCCTGATCACATCTGTCCAACTTTTCCCGTCACATCTGTTTTCCTTGATTCTTACAACTGCGAATCGTGGCTAAACAATAACTTGTTAATAGTACATCATGCCTCTATTTTACCATTCGTAACAAAATAGATGAATTAAACGGATATTGCGATACTATTGTACAGACATTAGGTTATTTCGAAGCAGAAGACGTGAAAAATGAGCAATGCCCTGGCCGGGACTCGAACCGCGGACCTCTCGAATACGCATCCAGCGTGCTGACCACTACACCATGAAGGCGTGCTAAGAAGGCGGAAGCAATACCTTATATATTCCCTCCTTTTTAAGGAAGACTGGGGGATTAAGGGACCCAATTGCCAAATCCTGGTGGTAGAGAATCATCATCCACTACTTTTTAGTTCGGGCGCCACTGTAGAGACATTAGGTTATTTCGAAGCAGAAGACGTGAAAAATGAGCAATGCCCTCGCCGGGACTCGAATCGCCGGGACTCGAACCATAGACCTCTCGAGCGTCCGGCGTGCTGATCACTACACCACAAAGGCATGCTAAAAAGGCTGGAGAAATACCTTATCCTATTATTCTCATTCAATTCAGTGTAGATAAAACACCGAAGAAAGTGTGTTAAATATAATAATATTCTGTATGATTTTATTTTGCAGGTTGATTTGCCAACCGGAGCCAAAATGCATTTATCCGGTGCCAACTACATGTGAAATGAAGCACGCACAATGCGTTGGTGATGCCCCAAACCACCAACACTTCTATAACTTCCAATAGCATAAGGATAAGTAAGTAAGTTTGATCATTTTATAAAAATAATCGTGACTTTTCGTCTTGCTTGCTAATTTGTGTCATAGTAAAGTTTCGTGTTTATTATAGCTGATCATTATTCATTACTTTAGACATGTTTCAGTTTGCTGTTACGACTATCAGAAAAGTCCTTTATAGTTATTTTTTCACGAACACTATAAGCTTTACAGTAGGAGGTTATCTGATCAGACAGTTTTGCTATATATGCTGCTATTCGATGTTTTCCCACAGGTTTCGTGTTTAAACGTTGGAGGCGATTTTTAAAATCACGGTATATTTAGCTTCAGTTACTTGTAATGTTTCATTTGCCAATTATCAGAAAAATGAATAAGCCTATTAAGAAGTATTCATTACGACAGTAGAATTTCGTGTGATATTGTGAAATCGGTACTTTTCTGTTAACGGGTCACCAGTCGTCAAAATCGCACCAAAGGGCCAAATGTGGTAGCCTGCTCGTATCGCGTCATGAATTGCTAGGCAATGACGTCGTCGCAAATTAATAGGAAGAATGAAGATCAGACCAGTGTGTGGATAATTTATTCTATCTTAAATTTCTAGCTGCTGAAGCGGATGAATTTGCAGCTGCTGGATATGTACATCTGCAAATTGACCACAAATGCATCATTCCTGATCCTGATATGGATGCCTTATGCAAAATGGCGAATTAAACATCAGCGCCGAGTTCCTAGCTTACCGAAATTAAGTGACTCGCTTGCGTGAAAAGACGCAGATGTTTTCAGCAATGTTAAGCCATATGAATCGTTATCAACTGATCCAGTATTGTAACGTATAATAATTGTATAATTGGTAATGTTTCTATTATTCATCGTAACATACACTGTAAAGTCTATGTGTGTACTGCATAATTAGTATTGTAATGTATTGAAATTGTATAACTGGTAATGTATGAATTGTATAAATCAGTATCGTAATATATAACGCACTGCTGCAAAATTAGTTTTTAAATGTGTTATAATTGAATCATTAGTAACGTAACGTATTGTAAAAGTAGCATGTTACAAAAGCCCCTGTATGGCCATGTACTTATATTTTTCTCAGATATCAACAAACACTGGGACCCGGCCAGTTGGACGGCGGCGAACCCCATCGGCGGCTCTGGATAATGGCAGACGTGGTGCTGTACTGATTAACCATTACGGTAAAGGGACAGTGCCTACGTCCTCCGTCACTTATCACTTATCAACTGATCCTAAACCTGTACATCACTGGTAATGAAAAGCGTAACTGCCATTCGTGTGCTTTATTTTAAATATAATTTAAAAATTTGGCTAAATTTACAGCAGTATACCACATTGCTGACTTAAGGATTGACCTCCCTCTCCACGCGTGAATACCTACATAAATTTCACTGGTAAACTTGTGATTAACAGTCTTGATGTGTAACGATATTCTTGCGTTTAATTTTAATTAAAATGTTATCTAAATTGACTGTACCGCTCCATACTGTGGAAACCTATAAAAGGCGACTATCAACCATTGACAATCTTAACGATCACTTTTAGTATAATTTTATTTTAATAAATCGACTTAACAATTTTAAATACATTCAGCTTAAAAAATTCAGAAAACATCTTTTATGAATATCTGAAGCATTAATTTACTCAATCACTGACGATGTTTCTTAGCTCCATATATTGTGCCTGGTGTACAATCGTTTGATTTCTTCCCCATTTTATGTGCAAATAATCCCTCGGAAAATTTAAAAGTATGTAAACTTTCATCCTTCCATTGGAATTTATTTCATACTAGCGGAAGTTCCTGATGCCAGTTAAGTTAGATTGAAAGCAATGCATCTAACAACGGAGTGAACGATACCACTGTAATCCTTCTCTAATAACGATGAAAAAAATGCGATTCCATGGTCATGCATTTTTCATTCTGATGCTATACTCACGTAAAAAATTTCGATAGAAAAATAAGCTAATTTTCTCTCATTATATCAACAACAATTGGCGCGCAATTTTTAATGATTTTCGTCTTTCTAATCAAATGGTCTTTCTAAACAAAGTTCAGATTTCATCCAATATTTCACCTATATTCAATTTTAGTCGATTAAATGTGACAAAAAATTGATCATAATTGATCAGAAATCAATAATGCGAACGAACAAACAAACACGCCAACAGACATTCTTCTTTATATATATAGATTGTGTAAAAATTATAAATTTTGACTAACAAACTCTACGATTTGAAAGCGAGCAGTAGCAACACTTTTCGAAATAAAGCACTTTTATCTCCAACGAACGAGACTGCTGCCACTCGGAGAAATGAGTGCAAAAATTAGCGCTTTCAGAGTTTTTAATTAATATTTCGGCCGATTAAAGTCGTACGAAAATGGGAATAGTCGAAATGGCTTTCCACAAATTTTTGGAATGGGAAATAATGTATTTAATGCTATTTTTATTTCATCGTGAAACTCAGAAATTTTTTTCTTATAAACGCTAGGATTTGAAAGCGAGCAGTGGCAACGACTTTCAAAATAAAGCAGATTTTCATCTCCAGCTTGCGAGACTGTTGCCACTCGGAAAAGTGTTGGCGAAAATTGTCGTTTTTCCGACTTTTTAATTAATATCTCTTATTTTAGCCAATTTTTTTTGGAAAAAAGTGGACGTCGACCTTTTCCAGGACCCAGAAAAGAATTGTAGAAAATTTGGGTACGATACTTATAGTAGTGATTGAGTTATTAGGTGACAAAGATAAAATCTCTGTACATTTCAGGTTGATCTAACACGGGCATTTGTTTTAACGTGGTAAAGTTTTTTTTTAATGTATACAGATTATTATAACTTAGTTATCTTAGTTTTACCACTTCTTGTCGCGTCTCAGAAGACTGATAATTAATTCTGTACAAGGCTTTTGCCCCCTTCAGACTGCGCAACAAAACTGAATTTTGATTGTTTGAGCAGAATTAGAAATATAACGTCAGTCATATTTTTTCAGAAATTTGTTTTTCGCCATTTTATTCCAAAACTTTAACCATAAATAAACATAACATTTGCTGTACACTTTTATTTACCGATATGAATTAATGAAGTCTTACACTTTCACATTCTTTATATCTTACATATTCATAGAATTATTCTGTTTTTCAAGCCAACGCAGAAATGTTCTAATCAAAATGTCTTACAAACGCTGAATTATAAACTACAAAACTTGGCAATTAAAGATGGTTTCTATACCTTACCGGTATTTTTAGCTATCCGTATTTCAGGATTTATATTGAATGAGTAGTTTTCAACTAGCTCTCCTAGTCTCAGCCAAATGTCAGACAAGATTAGCGGTAAGATGTAATTGGAATAATGGTTGGAAAGAACTCTTCCTGCGTCCTGAGAAAGGATTATTCTTAATATATCTTGTTTTTCATGTGTCAGCTTTGACGCAGATGCACTTAACGAGGCTCGTATGACATACAGACAGCATAACTTTTGCAAACAACAATGGGGTATATTTTAATCCTGCTATTGCAGACTTACTTATGATTGATGTGAAGTTATGATGGATTACGATAAATATCAGCTTTATGTCTTTTGGAAAACTTTAATTAATCTAAAATCTCTGCACGCACCGTATGCAATCTTGGCACACACATCTCAACCGATGTACCTGGCAAAGTGCATTGATCATAAGAGCAAGACTGTGATTTTATCTCCTTCGTGTAAGGTAATATTACGTACTTTTGCAATGGTAAAGCTAGTGGTTGAACAATTGCAATGATTGCCTCAATTAGTTGTATCTGAACTCGGACTTTGGGGGTTAGTATAAATTAGGGCTTCTGAAGCAAAAAACCGAGTAAATCATTTTAAAGATAATTGTGCTCCTAAACTGCAGATGCGTAATTTAACATTCATGGTGTTTCATTTAACACTAGTGTCTATATTTCACTAACGAGAGGCCAGTTAATCTCTGAGTAGTCAAAGCTACGATAGCCAGTGTATGCTGAGTTCAATTTCCGACATTAAATGGGATATATGGATATATGAGATTTTATGCTTACATTTACGGGATTGACACTGAATAAAATCGATACTGCACTAGATCGAGACTGCGTAGGATCAACGGATCATAAAATCGTCAGTCATATACGATTGGTACTAGCCAATATGATCTACATGATAAAATATTTTTTAAATTAAAAAAAATCTGAAAGCTTTCAGATTTTATATTACCCTCAAAGAGGCTTTTTTTCTTAATATTTTGTGTGTTACCTTTATTTATTAAATATCACGTTCTTCGCACTTAAAATTCAATTCAACAGCAATATCGCAAAATAATTTAAAACGAGCATATCTTTAGAAATTTCGATACACAGTCTCGCTCGCTGGAGATATTTCCCTCTCCCCTGTACAGTGTTGCCACTGCTCGCTTTGAAATCGTTAAGTTTATTAATCAAAAATTCGTTAAAATTTTACAAAATATGAATTAGATAATGAAACAAATTCCAAATTTCGGCTTCCAAGTGCCCATATTCGAGTGGAGGATTGCATTAGATGGCTCTAGGTACCGTTGTTTTATCACAATGTGAGGAACATGCATACATTTATGCAGATTCTTCATTATTTAATTTCTTTAATTCTTTTTGCTGTAAGTGCGTCTGTAATGACGATCAAAGGGGTCCGGCTATCAAGGGAAATGTCATCCTAAACCATAACGCTGGTTGAGAGCCTATGTGGCTTGCAATAGCCAAAGCAGGATCGGCACGCTGCTGTGGGCATCTCCAGACACGTCTTCGATGATCGTCACAACGCATTTGGAATGAGGATTCGTCGCTAAGGTCTATACGTCCCCAGTCAGCATCATTCCAACCTGATTGAGCCAATCAGCACTGTAATCTGATTCGACGGTGGGCAGGCGTGAGTGGCAAGTAACGTAACGTCCGTCACGAGCGTAGATTTCGTTCTATCAGTCATCTGTGGATGGTCATGGTGGACACTCGTGTGTTGGTCGCACTTCTGATGATTG